ATATATATATATATATATATATATATATATATATATATATATATATATATATATCTATATACACACATATATTTCAGCTATTCCGAATACTAAATATATTAAAAAATATTTATATATAGATGCCTTAAACTTTTTTTATAAATGACAAAGTTACAATTGTGCTTACAGGGTGTTTGGTAGTCAGTCATCGTCTGATTAGTCAGTTTGTTTAAATATAATATTAAAACAGAGTTTTTACAATTGGTGACCCTGACGAATGCGAGCAGCGCATTTTGCAAACTCACTAAGCCACAGAAATGTCAATGGCCCATATATGCTACAATATCTATTTGTACTCTCTCTCTAAAAAAAAATAATATTGAAATATCATAATCACAATATCTAAAGAAGAAATATTTAAAAAGACGCTGCACTAAATATATAATAGAAAGACTAACAAAAGAGGCATATTTCAAAATTGAAATACTATTATTGAAGCTGCAATACCTGAAATACTGCTCTATATATACACCTGTGTATATGTATGTGTGTGTGTGTGTGCAACAGAGAGTATTGCGCAGTCGAGTTAATCACTGTAACGTGCTTAGTCGTTTATTTCAGCAGATAAATGAAAAACCAAAATTTATTATGACTCATACATGACATTCGTTAGTCAGTCAGAAGAAGAAGTTGATCTAGAGAGAATTCTTGCTCGGGTTTCACGCTGATATTACGTAAGTTCAGCAAACACAATTCAAATCAAAGATCAAAAGAATATAAATGAATTGGGCAGCAACAAAAATACAAAAACATGTTTCCAGACTGCGAAGTTCTCGGATAAGGAATAGAATGCCAGAAATATGTTAAAAGTTATACATATATATATGTATGTAGCATCAGCTGTGATCGCTGTGATCTCTGATCTGTTGGCATTGGAATTGCTTGAATCGCATTCGAGCATCGAACTGTTTCTATTTATGCCGAAAACTGAGGACCCCCGCTGAAGCAACAAGACTGACTGTGCGGTGGTTCAGTTCAGTTCAGTTCAGTTTAGTTGTGGTTGCTGTGGCGGCGGTGGCGGTGCTGGTAGTGCTAGTGGTGTTGGTGTGGACGTCAAGGGAAAGCAAAGAGCAAGCAATTTTCTCAGCTCAATGATCCGATTGTGTGGTTATTCGTTTTACATATGGTAAACAGGCGAGCCTAAGTGTGTGTG